CCCCAGTCCCATACGGGATGGATCATCGAAGTCGAGTACATGACTGTACTGACTACACTCCATTAGGGTGGGGTATACAACTCCTCATCACGGTTTAGGGTTTTGTCAAAAGTACTCATGTGAACGAAAGGAAATCACTACAAAAGTGATCCTGTTCGAGTACAGTCGACACCTACTCATGTCGCGGAGTACCCCCATCTCGACCCAATCTGGGAAACGAGTGGTACGAGACTATAACACAAAAAGATGTCTCTTCATGGTTCGCAAGGTAGAATCCGGATCACGCGATTTGGGATACCGTTGCCACTCCGCACTTGTATATATTACACTTCCGTGACAATGGAAAGGACCTTTCCATTGTCACGAAGCAGGTTATTAAGACCTGGTCTTAATAATCTGCTTCCTCTCCTGATCCTCGTTAATCAAGTACTGACAAGCGTTTGGAGCAGGATCAAGAAGTGTTCACGGAGTGAAATGTACTTAGACTAAGTAACTCAGTAGACAAAGCCTGCTACCGTGAACAATCATTCCTTCGACAGGCTGATTCCCTCCGAGGGAATCCCTCGAGTCGCGCTCCTTCACTCCATTCCCGATGCTGGACCTCGTCAGTTCCTCGATTCGTCCATTCATACGCTCATTCGGAGCGAGACAGAATTTCCATTTCGCTTCATGCAGAAACCCTCAAATACTCGGATTCCAGATGTCAGTCTCGTGCCGAATCAGCGCTAGAAACCATTGATACGGCCAAACATAAACTCCACACCCACTAAGACTCTCACGCTGAAGTGAGGAAGAGGATGGTAGAATGCCTTTGGAAGCTCTACGCTCTAGGGCTTTCGACGAATCTCCATCCCGACGGCGCCACCGGCCAATCTCGAGCCAATTGGCCATCCTGGGCCGGTATGAGGGATCCTGGTCTATGGATCAAGAACATGCTCCAGATCACTCATTGGTCTTGACGCCTGGGGCCGTATGCGGATCCTGATGCAACAGGTGAGTCAGAGTATTTACTCAGATGAAAAAATCAGATGGTGAGTAATAACCCCTGATTCACTGATTTTTTACTCTGGAGCGAGAAATCAGGATCATCGCGAGGACGTGTGGATCTCTGAGCTGATTCGAGAATCTAAAGTTGATTTTTTGGCTGATTAATACTCTTACTCAATATGCCTTGCTCATGAGGCTGATTTTTCGGGTGATTCCATTGAATCTGAGTATTTTCGAGAATCAGGGAATCAGAGTTTGAATCAGACATTT